AAGTGATTTGTCGTAAAACTCAAGTGCTTTCGAGTAGTTACCCATGTCGATGTACACTCCACCGATGTTGTTGTAGGAAGTAGCCAATGAGGGATGATTCGAAGGCAGAGCTTTTTCGTAGATTTCAAGTGATTTTTCGTAAAATTCAAGTGCTTTTGAGTAGTCACCCATGTTGCCATACGCAACACCGATGTTGTTGTAGGATTCAGCCAAATCATAATGTGTCAGAGGCAGAGTCTTTTCCCTGATTGTAAGTGCTCTTTCGAAATATTGAACTGCTCTCGAATAGTTACCCATGGTAATATGCCCTGCACCCATATTATTGTAGATTTCTGCTAACTTTGGATGATCTTTCGGTAGAGTTTTTCGATAAGTCGCGAGGGCGGTTTTGAAAAATGAAATTGCTTCTTGAGATTGTCCTTGATCACCTCTGACTTCTCCAAGCTTATTATAGATACGTGCTCTATCACTATCATCCGATGCCTGTTCTAGTAGTGCCCGATATAGTTCTTCGGCCTTGTTGAATTGACCTATTTTGAGTAACAGTTCACCCATTCGGTACCATCCACTGCCGTCGACCTCTTTCCGTATGTAGTCAGTTAATTCTCGAAGTTGTGGGTCGTTATCCGACGTAAGTTTTAGATCCACCTGATAAAGCGCACGATTGTTGTCAATTTTTTGAACTTCACCAATGCGAAACACGGTGTGCATGGAGAAGAGAATTTCCTCTTCATTTTTGAAATAGCTTTCCTCACGAATGGAAGCGAATGGAGTTGATGACACCTTAGGATCGATTGTTATTTGAAATAATATTCCAACCATATCATATGTGCTTAAGGCTTTCTTGGCGAAATCGAGAGAGACTTTCTGATTTGTGCTGGTTGATAAGAAGTTATTAAAAGAAAAAAGCCCACCTGTATTTTTAGCAAGCTTTTCGAAGTCTGCTTTCGATAGACCTTGTCCTCGAAAGACTGTAAAAGTTTTATCATGATATTGACTGACCTGATTCTTGTGCAAGTCTTCGATTTGTCGATGTACATCACACAGAAAAAAACCCATTCGTATGATTATATCGCCGTTGAGGGTCCATAATGCGCCGTTGATCATTTTATACGTGAAGCTCTCACGTGTATACCACCAAATGGCGTTGGATGCTTGATAATCACGTTGAAATTCATTGATAATTTTGATTTCCCTCTTATTGCCTTGGTATTCTTGTTGGCAATACTTGACCAAATCTTGAAGGGCTTTTTGATCATGTTTAATTTCAAGGAGTATTTCCTTGAATATTTGGGAATACATAAAAGAAGGTTCTAGCTGATCCAGATTCTTGCTAGAACCTCCTGCATTCACACTAACAATGCTCACCGACATGTGATCTTGATTGCATTGTTTGATTGCTATGGCCAATTTTTCACAAATATGTTTGATGGTTGTGTGGACGCCTTTGATTTTTGCCCAATTTTGGGCCCATACTTGATGCTGTTCTTTCTTACGACAAAATATGAATATAGCATTCAATTTTGTCATGCCGTGGATGCTTGGTACAAGATGCTGTCCAAGTGCACCTGAGGAGATAACAAATGAGATCTCCTCTTGATTTTCCATAAGCTGTTGAATACATTGATCAGCTGTCGCGCACGTATTGATTTGGTTGACGACAGCACGCAGTTGTTCGATTGTATTTTGGCAATCTTCATTTGCCATGTCGATATTTTCATCGACCCAAATAACCAAGTAGTTTTCAGGCCTGCGTCGTCTTGGTTGTTGACTCATTTTTGATGTAATGTTTTGCGTGCGACAGGTAGTTGTAGATTGTGAATAGTAAATGTTGTTTGGACACAGTTTACCTTTTGTATTTATACATTTGATGCACGTTGTTTTTTTTCTAGATTTTTCTCTGACGTCAAAATATGAATATTTTGTTTTTCCGTTGACAGTCAATAACAAAATATGCCTATTAGTAATTGAAGGTATGCTTATCAAAAATAAATTAAAGGGAAAAAAACCCACAACATCATTGATCGTATGATATTTTTTTCCCACTTTCATTTACGTGTCATATGAAGCGTGACTTGAGTTTCATTGCATTAGATACCTTGTCTTATACGTTGTATAATTTTGTTTCGTTCTCTCCAACAAGAACGAAAATGACAGCATGGACAGCGTTAGTGTGATTATTTTTTCTCATTATACATATGATTGACATGCTGATAATGTAAACGAAACAAGAAAAAATATAATTTCAATTTTAATTGAGGCAATAGTTAAATAACGATTTCTACTGACCAAATAGACTGTTATTGAAATTTGAAAATTATGAAACATCGAAGTAATTATCACCAATTTCAAAATGAATGGAACATTTAAATGTAGATTTTACATATTAGTATAACAATAAACAAGCAAAAGTTTTATATCAGTTATCATCCAAATTGCATCTAGAAACACCCAAAAACTTAAGTTTTGTCATGTGTAGAATGAATTGATCGTCACTCACAATCTTGCTAGAGTAGTTTTTGATTTTTATTCATTCGTATTATATGTATAATAAAAAGAAATTTTGTTTTCTTGTATTATATTAGCTGCTCTTCTTTTATTAATTTCTACGATTCGTCAAGAAATCATATTCAAATTTTTTTTTTCTGTTTTCATATAGTTGGCAAATAATGAGAAGAATCACTCATAGTTTCTTAGCTAAAACTGGTGGAGATATTGAAGACATGAACCTTTCTTACTTTCGTAATTCAAAAGTAAAAAAAAAACAGGATAATTGAATCGTATGCTTGATGTATTTGTTTGAATAGAGAAAGATGATATCATCAATACTTAATTTGATCATTATATTTGTTTTTAACTTACATAAATTTGACACTCATTACTAAGCTCATATCAGAATTGATAAAAAACTTGCCAACAGTGAATTAATAGTAATATTGCATTGCTATTTTCTACACAGAGTATTGAAAAAATGTAGTAAAAGTTTTAAATGTAAAAATGATACAGATAATATCAATACACTTGTGATATTGCGACATGCTACTTTTTCATATATTTCTAAATTTTTTTATTCATTTGACTGATACACATTTTGATTCCTAACCAACAATAACTGATTAAAAGAAATTAAAACAACAAAAAATTGTGTTACTATATGCACAACGAGTAAATAAATTCATATAAACATAACCATGAGAACTAATAACTGGCCATTTAAAACCTACTCAAGATTTTACAATCTTCAATACTACCATAGTATATCAAAAAATTTTAAAGAAATGCAGTTTAATTTAATTTTTGTTGTTTTAGTTCTTTTCATCAGTTCTCGTTTGTTATGAATAAATGTTAACTCATATTACAGATGATGTCTTCTTTGCTAATCATGACGGTACTCAGAAAGAACGAAAATTTCAGTTATATATGTAAAATTAAATTATACTGTATTTCTTTAAAATTTTCTGATGTACTATTGTTTTATTCAAGTTTACATATTTCCTTATTGAATAACTATTGTAAATAGATGTCAGTAACTGTAGAATATTTTTATTGATACCAGTTATATGACATCTGACTTTATTGAAATAACTAGATACAATCGAACTCAACAATTATTAGTT